GAGAGGACTACACAGATAGTTTTCAAAATCAGGAAGAAAAGCGTTGGCTACGAGGGTGTGACTGTGACTGTGGGTGTGATTGTAAGTAAAGGTTACTTCTATACACAAATACCCGCCCACACCTTACACTCGCCAACACCCATACCTTGTTGGCAACAGTAGAAGCCATCATAGACTAATAAGACACTGCCATTCATCGTCCTTTCGTATTGAAGTCCAAGGCAACCGAAAGGAACATCAGTAGGAAAGAACAAAAATATGTTTAAATCCTATTAAGAGGTTCTTTTTTTTCTTTCCTATTATCTATGGCTATAATGCAATTCTTGTTTGCATGTGTTATTCTTATTCTTCGTTATCTCATATCTGGCGTATGTACACAGATTTTGCCTATTACATTTAGCCAGCAACACCTTTGAAATAATGGAAAGAATAATCGAGATAAGAAGTCCTTGAAGTTGATAACAACCAGCCAAACAAAACCGAAAGTGTCAACATAAAAAGGAAGAAAAAACCGAAATATATTTAGAGAGAGACGAAATATTTTTGATTTTTTGATATTTTACAGTGTGCAACAAGTATTCACGTTTCCATTCATTTAAGTAAGTTGAACAAGAAAATCAAAAGGTTGTCATCATCATCGTCATTATCAGCGAAATGGACAAGAAAAATTTGAAACCAAATGCTAGTGACTCATCGTCGTCTACCACAAGTAAATCAAATAAGTCATCCACAGCAGCAGCAGCAACGACAGTAGTGAGTAGAAATGTCACACAGCCACGCCCCGTCCGTCAGATGCTTCAAAATTTTCTTTTGGTCTGGCTTGATGCCGGTTTCGATGAGTCCAAAGACGATTATGAAAAACCAATGAAACATCTGCAACATATAGTGGCAACGGTCGCAGTGTTTAAAGACGTTGATGAATCCATTGATTTTCTCACTGACATTGAGAACGAAAAAGTATTTATGATCGTATCAGGTGCCCTGGCACAACATATAATACCGATAATTCAAGAATGCCCACAGTTAGTCTCAATTTATATTTTATGTGACAATCAATCGATTCGTGACGAATGGGCCAAAACAATACCTAAGGTAAAAGGTATATACACACAAATCGAACCGATTTGTAAAGCATTACAAATCGATCAAGAAAATTGTGATCGAGCTATGATCTCGATAAGTTTTAATAGAATTGATCCATTATTTATGTATACACAATTGTTAAAAGAAGCACTTTTGGAAATAGAAGATGATGATGCAAAATCGATTAAGGAACTCGTTGAATACTGTCGCCTTCAAAGCGATGCTTCCGAAAAAACACTTGAAAAGATTGAAGAAGAATATCGTAATCATTCACCTATTTGGTGGTACACAGGTCCATATTTTATTTACTCAATGCTCAATTGTGGTCTTCGACAAATGAATGTCGATATTATCTTGAAGATGGGTTTCTTCATTCGCCATTTACATAATCATATTAAAGAATTACATCGCAAGCAACAAGACAAGGTACCAACAAAATTTCAAGTCTTTCGTGGACAAGGTTTGTCCATGGAAGACTTTGAAAAAATGAAAAAAACCGAAAGAGGACTTATGTCCTTTAATAATTTCTTGTCGACAAGTCGTAATCGTGAGATATCTTTCAACACCTATGCACGAGCAGCAGCATTTAATCCAAATTCAGTTGGTGTTCTCTTCGTTATGAACATTGATAGGAATATTTGTACAAATTCATCCACACCATTTGCCGAACTAAGCAAAGTTGGCTTTTATAAAGATCAAGAAGAAGAAATACTCTTTTCAACACATACAATTTTTCGTATCGATCGCATCGAAAGAATTGAAGACAATCATACTGATCGATTATGGCAAGTTAATCTCACTATCGTCGGCAATCAAGATGATGATTTTAACAAACTTACAGCACGGCTCCGTGAAGAGTTCCAGATAAAAACAGGATGGAACCGACTGGGTGAGATTCTTATTAGACTTGGTGAGTCTGCAAAAGCAGAACAATTCTATAAAATACTTCTCGACAAGCTAACTTCTGATGCTGATCGAGCACAGTACGATTTTCAACTTGGGCGAATATATGAAAATATGGGGGAGTTCTCAAAAGCACTTCCATTTTACGAAAAAGCACTTCATATCTACGAAAAAATCCGCCCTCAGAATCATCCCGACTTCGCTTCTTCCTACAACAACATCGGCGTGGTGTATTATAACATGGGCGAGTATTCGAAAGCACTTTCATCGTATGAACGATCACTTGAAATCCAGAAAATAGCTCTCCCTCCGAATCAT